GAGAAAAGGAGGAGGAGTTGGAGGAGGCGGGAGGAGGAGGTAGGAGGAGGGGGAAAAGGAGGAGGAGGAGGGAGGAGGAGAGGAGAAGGAGGAGGAGGAGGGAGGAGGAGGGAGGCGGAGGGAAATGGCGGAGGAGGAGGAGGAGGAGGAGGATGAGGAGGAGGAGGAGGAGGTGGAGGAAGACGAGGAAGACGAGGACGGTGACTAGGACGAGGAGGGGCACGAGGACGTGGACCAGGACGAGGACGAGGACGAGGACGGGGAGGAGGAGGACGTGGAGGAGGAGGAGGAGGGGGAGGAGGAGGAGGAGGAGGAGGATGAGGAGGAGGAGGAGGAGGTGGAGGAAGACGAGGAAGACGAGGACGGTGACTAGGACGAGGAGGGGCACGAGGACGTGGACCAGGACGAGGACGAGGACGAGGACGGGGAGGAGGAGGACGTGGAGGAGGAGGAGGAGGGGGAGGAGGAGGAGGAGGAGGAAGTGGAGGATAAGGAGGAGGAAATGGAGGAGGAAGAGGAGGAGGAGAAGGAGGAGGAGCAGTGTAAACCTACAAATCATTTGCGATGTTGGAATTGCCCCCAAAGCTCCCTATTGGCATGCCCCTTGCAAACGGCTCATTTCCACTGAGGGAACTCGTTGGAAGACAACCGCTTGAAGACCCCGAAGCATGCCCGAATATTGTTTTCGGGGGTCCAACGCCACGGACCAACATGACTGTTGCATCTCGACGACCCTGAATCGTGCCAGAAACCATTCTTGGGATTTCAACACCGCGAGTCAGCGTAATTGTTGCGTCCTCATAATCCTGAATCTGTTCAACACATCATTTCTGGTGCTGTGTTCATGGGAATCCGTGGAACTCTTGCAAAGTTTACAGACGACAGTGCGCGGCGGCAAGGCGATAGCCACATCTTGACAAAAAGAAGCGCCCTCAATCCGTGAAGCTCTTGCAACGTTGTAAAACGATTGTGCGCGGCGCTGGGGCAAGAGCCACATCTTGAAAAACAACCGCCGTCAATCCGTGAAGCCCCTGCAAAGTGTTAAAACGAATGCGCGCGGCGATAACGCGAGAGCCACATTTTGAAAACCACTCGCCCTCAATCCGTGAAGCGGTAGTCAATTTTTGAGCTTCAGGGTGATAAGCGGTGAGGAAATCTCGGGCGAAACGCCCGGCCCGCCCTGAAATCCTGCTTCGGGGTGCGAGAAGGAGAAGTTTGATCTAGGAGAAGGAGTGGAGGAGGAGGAGGAGGAGGAGGAGGAGGAGGGGGAGGAGGAGGAGGAGGAGGAGCAGGAGGAGGAGGAGGAGGAGTGAAGGAGGAGGAGGAGGAGGAGGAGGAGGAGGAGGAGGTGGAGGAGGGAGGAAGGAGGAGGAGGAGGAGGCGGAGGAGGAAGATGAGGAGGAGGAGGAGGAGGAAAAGGAGGAGGAGGAGAAGGAAAAGGAGGAGGAAGAGAATGAGGAATAGGAGGAGGTGGAGGAGGGGCGCCAGACCCGATGTAGGCCTGGGCGTTTTTGGTTGTTTTTGGCGCCTGGGCGGTTTCAGCGTTTTCCAACTTGGCGTCGAGGAAGAAAGAAGAGGAGGAAGAGGAAGACGGAGGGAAAGCTTCAGAAGGCCAAGAAGGCGACCGAGAAGGCCGAGAAGGCGCTCGAGGAGGCCACAGCTCCTTGGGAGAGCTGGTGGCGGACTCTCCAGGTGCACATGAAGTACCACTTGCCTCCTTGGGCGGCCAAGAAAGTGGTGCGCTTGGCGCGCCACGGCCCGCCCCGCGGCCACGCCAACGACTTGGGCTGACGTGCGCCGCGCGCGGCCTCGACTAGCAGCCCCGCCCTGGCCTTTGGAGCGACAGCCAAAAAACACACACCCGCAGAAGGAGAGAGAGAGAGAGAGAGAGAGAGAGAGGGAGAGAGAGAGAGAGAGAGACTTCACTTTTACCACGTTGTCGATGTCTCTCAGTGGCATGTCTCGGAGACGATAGCAACCAGGCGGGTCTGATTCGAAGCGCGTGGGCTTCTCGAGCCGACTGTACGGGTTCAGAGTGTCCATGCAGCCCCAGGCCTGCGCGACCTGCTCGGTGGCGGACTCGTCCCCCGCGATCATCTCTCCCAGAGACTTGACGCCCCCCGCCACGAGGTTCGCCATGATCGCAACGAGACGCGATGCAACGTTGACTGCGAGGCGCACCTGTGGTCTTGAGCCAACGCAAAGCTGCGGGCTACAGCAATGGGAAAAGATAACGGACTGGGGCATCCAAAATCTGGATCCCCCCAATCAGCGGGCTCTCTCTCTCTCTCTCTCTCTCTCTCTGTCGCTGTCGCCGTCCCTGTCTCTTTCTCTGTCTCTGTCTTTGTCTCTGTGTCTGCCTCTCTCTCTCTCTCTCTCTCTCTCTCTCTCTCTCTCTCTCTCTCTCTCTCTCTCTCTCTCCTTCTGCGGGTGTGTGTTTTTTGGCTGTCGCTCCAAAGGCCAGGGCGGGGCTGCTAGTCGAGGCCGCGCGCGGCGCACG